AAAAAAAAAGCTTATAGGGCAGTAAAAAAAAAAAGGTCTATTAACTATCTCATCTTTCAGATTCCGTTATTTTCTTTGACTAAATCATCACAGTATTTTATGAATAAAGTAAGTGACATTCTACTAAATAACTTACATTACCCATTATGGCAGGCCCACACAGTAAAAAAGACAACCACCGTGCTAATTTGTTGCTAAATGGGATAATATACAGTGAAGTGTTTAGGACACTGCCTGGTCCATAGTTAGTGCTCAATAACTACTGTTTATCATTATTGATATTATTTCACTGAATTTAGAAGAGAAGGACTGTCACTAATTTTGACATAGTGCTAGGAGTATAAGAACAACAGGGCAGTAAATGTATTAGCCCAAACTAGGATAATGGCAGAGGCAGCCAATATAATGGCACAGACTGTTATCTGAAATAAGAGTCTGCTAGATTTCTGACTAAATGGATTCAGGGATGGAGTATGTCAACTTCTACTTACCTACTGGGCTAGTTGATAGTAGATAACTGAAGCTCCAGTTAGAGAAACAGCTGAGTCCAGACTGACCACTGGGTAGCTACAAGTGCCCCAATATGTCAGGATAGGGACTAACTAGTCAGTGGACAGCATTTGGTCAGCCAAGGAAGAGAATGTTTTATTCTGCAAAAGATGTCATAGCTAAGCTGCTAGTCAGAAAGAACCTAGGGTCTTTAGCAGAAGCATAAAAAATGGCTGAAAGAAATAATGTCTTAGGGTCAAAAAGCATTGGTACAATTAATTGGGACACAGAAATCACCAGGATGAGTCCGTTTTGGAGTGAAAGATAATGAATAATTTAGTTGTATAGAAGGAGAGTTTCAGGAAGCAGGGAGGCATCCACTGCCTTACATGTAGCTGGAAATGTGGAATCCATATTTAAACAGGAGAGTGAACCTGTGAGAACAAATGAGATTCCCCACCCCACTTCTGGAAACACAAAATTAAAGCTTAGAAGAGAGAGAGTGAAAAAGATGCAGAAGGCAAGAGAGATAGTTTGAGGGGATAGAATCAGATGGAATAGGGTGGCTAGAGACTTTACCAAGTACAAAGCTTTTAAAAAAGAAAAATAAAGCTTTTAGAGTACAAGTACCCAATTAAACTGACGGAATAATCTGATACTTGAAGAATTATGCCTGATTTTGTGAAAAATTGAAGGATAATGCAGAAAGAGCAGCCTACATGACATAATCCTACTATAAAAGCATCAAAGCATGACTCAGAGATTTAGCCCACAGGAAGTTATTAATAGGTCCTCTCTGTTTGCAAAATAGTACAAACATGCCATACCACCAAGAACAAAATAATCAGACCTTTATTCTCCCTCTCTCCACCTTGTTTTTTAAAATATGTGGATTAAAACAATCTTTAATGATTTCAATGTTAATTTCAACCCATGTCCAACAGTAAATAGCCAATCTCACTGGCTATTCATTTTAAACTTTGCTTCGCCAGCTTTTGTGGAATGGTGTCCAATTTTTTTAACTTGAAAACTTTAAAGTTTGAAAGTCGGTAAGAGCTGACATTACCAACTGTTTTTTGTTTTCAAATTAAGCACAGTCCAAAGATTTCCTATTAAGTGGCAGCTTTTAAAATTTTTTCTTTAAAAAAAAATTCCACTGCTGTCATTGCTTCTATAAAGCACAGTTTATAGCTGATCAGGTGTACCCTTTGATATTCTTTTGGTAGTGAAGAATTTTTAGAAATCACCCTCATGTACTCTAAAGCACAGCTGAATTTAGATGTTGAATTTTAAATGGCTCTTTTACAGATGCATATCATATATGCATGTATATTTGCATATATGCTCATTCCTGTATTTATGAAGATTGAAAGGAGCCTCTTAAGATTTAGTTCCGACTATGATGGTTTAAATGGGTAAAAAAAAAAACATAGGCAAAAAGGCACTGCTCTACAATGTAAAGAAAATAAAATTCATGCAAAGAAAAATGTTCAAATTAATATATTTTCTTTAAAATTATGACTCTGACAATTGAAAAAAGGAATCAGATCGAATTTTTAAAAATTATGATATTTCACAGCAGGGGTAAGAATAAAGAGAAAAATGCCAGGTGTGGTGATGTGATTCTGTGGTACCAGCTACTAAAGAGGCTGAGGAGGATCAACGGAGCCAAGGTCAAGGCTGCAGTGCATTGTGATCACACCTGTGAACAGCTATTGCACTCCAGCCTGGGCAACGTAACAAGATCCCATTTCAAAGACACACACACACACAGAGAGAGAGAGAGAGAGAGAGAGAGAGAGAGAGAGAGGAGCAAAACTATGTATATCTGTTGGCTCACCAAAAAAGTTAAGCTGTAATAATAAAATACGATCATCTAAATATTATATAATCACATAATAATCTGAAAAGCATGTTGGAGCTCTCAGCAAATGTCTTTTTTCCACCTGTTCTTGCATATTGCCCCATAGTCCCTCTTCTATCCCTTTGAATGGCTCCTTTCATTCTTTAGTTGGGAGCTTGGGTGACACCTGGCAGAGCCAGGCTGGGTTAGGCACTTCTACAGGCTCTCAATACCCCTGGCGCATACCCATTCACAGTGGATGCATTGCTCTGTGTTATATTAATAGTTGCTATTTGCTTATCTGCCTTCCACTAGACTACACCTAGCTCTAGAGGGCTGGGTGTCAACCTTTATTCATCTTTTTGTAGTCTTTTAAATACAATATATGAAATACACAGTTTTTGAATATGTAAACTAATGAGTCATGTCCTCTGTTATCAATATGAATTGAAACATGGCACTGCATATTAAGAAAAAATCTAGTCACACAATATACAAAGCTAGCCAACTTTTAGGGAGAACTGCAAGCTCAAAACTCTAAGTCTTACATCTTTATAGGATAAGTAAAGACATTTTTGTTTCACCAGCAGCATATTCATGCTTTCCACAAAAAACTAATGCTTGGTTTTGTAAGATAAAGAAATCCAAATGGAAAGGTGTGAGTTAAGTATGGAAAAGCTAATTCACAATGTGATTTAAACCATAAAGGAATAATCTCCTGACCTAGGAACTACTTCTATTCAAGCAGATATGAATCCACACTATAACTAAAGAGATCTCTAGGTGTGAGACCTGATGGGGTGGAGAGGGAAAGGACACAGTCATGGACTTGAAAACAGAGTGTAAATAACAGCCACCCTAAAACGGTAGTCAGTTTCTTATTTTTACTCATCTTCCAGCTTCAACTCCATCTTCCAGCTCTGCCTTCACCCTCTCTCTCAGAGTTCTGGTTCACTTGTCAAAGCAATGTTACTAGGGAGCAATAGGCATATTCACAGGAGGAAGGGAGAGCCATCATGACCACAGACAGCCTGCTCCCCAAGAACCTACGAAACTCTAGGCACAGAAAAACAGCAGAGCACGTTCACTTCCAGTAAGCCATTGAAATCTGTGCCTGAAAACCTCAGAAGCAAAATAAATGACATCCTATGGCCATTATGGCAAAGGACAGAAACAAGTCCGAGTTGAAAGGATGCCAACAATAGCAAAAGACTTAAAAACCAACTTCGACTGCTTCACACATTTGGGTTTTGGAGTAAGAATAATAAAGGGATGAGATATAAGTCCCCAATTGAAACATTAACTCTTACGAAATACAGTTCAACTTTAAGAAGTTACAAGTCACCTGCCGGGAAAATTTTGATACCCTAAGTCAGTCTAATTTTAAAATACCAGGCACTCTGTACACACACATACTGACCAGGCATTTTATCTTTTCAAGGTACATCGTTCAGGTATATTTCAAGAAAGTATCCTGTTTTAGCAACTTTACATAAATGGACATCAAAGTAAAGGAGGGGTTGGCATCTGCTTCCTTGCCCAATGTTCTAGACAATCTCTAAGTGCTCTAGTCTCAGCTTCCTGCTAAGCTAGTCCTATGACCCAAGTTCCAGTGATTATACAGCAAATATTACAGTTGCTAATCTTTCACAAGAGCCTTAGGTAATAAGAGAAAAATCAGACACCTCAGCACATGCTTTTCCTGGCAGCAGCCTGGTAGCACCTGTCTGTAAGTTCAACGGCAGCATTATTTTAGCAGAGAAGGCAGTTAAGTGCCCTAGCAGTGTATAATCTCATAGCTTTTCACGTTTAAAAGAACCATATGTTTACTGTCCTTGCCTTTCTCGGTAGTAAAACGTAAGCTGTACCATCACTCCACTCATATATCTTTCCCTCCAGTGCCACATGAAACTGTGATTGCAAAAAAGAGGACCTTAATCCTGAGGCTAGAGTTTATTGTTACTTAAAACTTAGCCCTATGTTTATATTGTATCATCACATATTAAATTCTCCTTCCTAATCCACCTGCAAAGTTCATAAAGGTATGCAAGAGATCACGGTATTATAGTGACGTCCATCCAAATCAGGGCTGTGAACACAGGGCCTGGGGTACCTAGCTGTTTCTCCCGTTCCTCACGTCGCTCCCGGGCCAGGCGCTGCCGGTCATCAACACGTAACACAGGTGGAGGGTCTGACAATGAGATTTTAAAAAAATGAGATGAAGAGTGGATTAAAATAAAGAAAAAATACACATTGATAAATATCTAGTAAATCTGAAGAATAAAATATTGCTACACTTTACAACAATAAGTATACGTGACTAGAGTTACAGTGATCCACTCAATTACTAGAAGTTTTCTAAGGACTTCCAAGCATTTTTTTTCTATTTGAAAACATTATGTAAAATTATGATACAACTATAGCTTTTTGGTTATTTTCTTCAAACAATATAAATGACATTTTATGTTCCTAAGCTACCAAACTTCTATTATTTTTATGCTTTAAAAAGTCTGTTCCTTAATGACCAACAGAATCCTTAAGTGGCTTTATACTGAACAAATGTTTGCCAGTTAGAGGTGAAGTGCTTGAGTCCAGCAGACATGAATTCCGTTTCTGCCCCGTTACGCGCCGTCGGCCACCTCTCCAAGTCTCAAGCTATGAGGTGTACTTTAATTTATTACCTGTAAAATAAGGATACAATAGAACCTATCTCGCATTATTATAATGACTCTTAGTAGAGTGTGTAGTGTGTATGTCCCAGTAAATCCCTGAACATCTATTATGTGCTAGGCACTGTTCTGTATACTGAAAAGACGGCAGTCACCAAAAAAGACAAAAACCTGAGACTTCATGGGATTTACATTCTACTTGGGAAAAAAATCTGATAGACAAGAGAAATAAGTACTACACATGGAATGAAAAAAGGAGAAAAATACAGAGAATATTAGGCTGAGATAAATGTTAAGGAGACAACAAAGAAATGAAGGGGGTTATGACATGTCAGGAAATGGATGTTTAAATTTTTAGATGGAGCCCAAGGAAGGCCTCACTGTGAAGATGATGTTCCATAGAAAGTAAGTGCAAAGGCCCTGAGGTTGCAAGTACCTAATATGTTCCAGAAACAAGAGGGAGATCTGAGAGACTGGAAGAGTGAGATGAGTAAGTGTCAAGGTGAGGACCTTGCATTATACTCTGAGTGAGATGCGGGTGGAGAAGAGGGGTTCTGCAGGTCTGCAGGCTCACTCTGCTGCCGTATAAAAACAAAAAAATAAAAATGGTCATCATAATAATCAGACTTAAAAAATAATGAAAATGGTCATCATAATAATCACACTTAAAATTGGGTTTCTTTTTGTCTCTACCAGAATGACATTAGAATTGATATTGACATTTTTGGAATCTCGTGTTAAAAATGGGACTCTATATAATAATGCAGTAGAGACAAGATGATTGCAGTGGCTCACATCTGTAATCCCAGCACTTTGGGAGGCCGAGGCAGGTGGATCACCTGAGGTTCAGGGCTTAAGACCAGCCTGGCCAATATGGGGAACCCCTGTCTCCACTAAAAACACAAAAATTAGCCAGGGATGGTGGCACCTGCCTATAGTCCCAGCTACCCAGGAGGCTGAGGCAGGAGAATCGCTTGAACCTGGGGGGCAGTGGTTGCGATGAGCAGAGATTGCACCACTGCACTCCAGCCTGGGTGACATAGTGAGACTCTGTC